AATCTGTCCTCCAAACAACTCTCCCCGACAGAGCACAGCGTGCTGGCAAAGGGACACAACTTCAACACGACCACGACACATCCGTCACTGCCGAAGATCATCGCGGCTACGGAGGAAGGCATAAGGCGACTCGACAGCGGCACTCGGGAGAACGTGCGTCTCAAGGCTATCGGCGTACTATCAAAAATAGGAAAGCGCCGTGAGCACAACCTGTCGAGAGAGGAGTGTAAGGCGATCCATGCGCTCCGAAATGATGATAAGGTTGTCATCCTCCCGGCCGACAAAGGGAACGCAATGGTCCTGCTCGACAGGGAGGCATACAACGACAAGGTGCGAGACCTGCTGGACAGTCCGGCCTACGAAAAGCTGACGAAGGACCCCACACCAAGTGTCCAAAGGGAAATGAACAAGCTCCTGGCGGATATCTTTAAAGCGCACCCGAAGGCGAGAAACACATACCTCCAGCTCATCTGCCGGAACGGCTCTGCACCAGGATTTTACGGGCTTCCCAAGACCCACAAGCCCACAGTTCCGCTCCGTCCTATCGTGGATTTTACAACATCTCCACTCCGGGCGCTGTCCAAGTATCTCCACCGGACTCTCGCGCCGCTCGTGGGGCAAACACCGACCCACATACGCGACGCCAGCCACTTCTTGGAGCGCATGAGAGATGTGACCGTGAGCAGCGATGAGTGCTTCGTCTCGTTCGACGTCGTGTCCCTGTTCACCAGTGTGCCCGTAGCACTAGCGGTATCTAGCGCACGAGCAGCGTTGAACCAAGACGAGCTCTTGGATGAAAGAACCTGCCTGGGCGTCGACGAACTGTGTCGCCTACTGGAATACTGCCTCAAGGGGACGTATTTCAGCGTCAACGGGAGCTTCTATAGACAAGCCAGCGGGACCGCGATGGGAGCGGCGATCTCCGTTACGGCTGCGAACCTCACAATGGAACACATAGAAGAGACGGCACTGGGCTCCTTTATTGACAGGCCGAAAGTATTTGTGAGGTACGTGGATGACTGTTTTTGCATAATAAAGAAGGCAGCAGTAGACAGCTTCCTCGAACATCTAAACTCCATCGACCAAGCGATACAGTTCACGGTGGAACGAGAGCGAGACGGGGCGCTTCCGTTTCTCGATGTTTAAGTCAGACGACAGGGCGAGCGCATGACCTTTTCGGTGTATAGAAGGCCAACTCACACCGGCAGGTATTTGCATTTTGCGTCCTGTCATCCAACTGCCCACAAAGCTTCAGTGGTTTCGGCACTCCTTTCACGTGCACGAGTAATCTGCACGTCGGAGGGTGAGAGGAAGAAAGAAGAAAAGAGGATTGTCGCCGAGCTACGAAGGAATGGCTACACAGAAGCGTTCATCCGCCGGGCGTCACGCCGTTTGTCGAGACGACAACCACCGCACCGCGGAAAGACACCTGCAAGGGACACACCGCCCGACCCCCTTTCCGCCCTGGCCACACCACCGCACACGAGAAAAACGAAGGCGCCAAACAACCGCGTCGCCATTCCATATGTGCCGGGCATAAGTGAACAGCTCTCGAGAGTCCTAGGAAAAGCCGGGGTCACGGTAATCCATAAACCTGTTTCGATGCTCGCTCGCTTGCTACCGCGGCCGAAAGACCGACCTCCGAGGGAGCTACACCCGGGCGTTGTCTACAAAGTGTGGTGTTCTGGGTGTCCAGCCTGCTACATAGGCGAGAGCAAGTGTTTCCCGGAAAGAATGCGCCAACACAAGAACGACGTCAGGAAGATGGAAGTGCAACGTAGCGCTCTGGCGGAGCACTGCGAGAAGCACGACCATAAAATTGACTTAGACGGCGCTTCTGTTATTGAAACAGAACGGAATTTGGGAAAGAGGCTCTTGCTCGAGTCTTGGCACATTCAGCATACGCCTGCCAACGTGAACCGCTCGCTGGGAACAATGCCTTCGGTGTACGTTCACGGTCTCCGAAACGTGGTGGAAAGGGAAAGCCGGAGCCGTGGTGGGAGAACACGACGCGACGACACTTCCATGACCAAGACAGTCACCCCCTGAGGAAGGGACCGAGTCGGTCTCGAAACGTCGGACTCTATTTGAACTGTGGCTGGAGCAATTTCAATTTTCTAAACTTTTCTACCCAGCCAGACAGATTGCTGTCAAAATGTTTACGTTTACGAATATTCCCGAATTTGTCCGCTTACCTTTGTCGCGGGGCCCGCGACAAAGAAGCGAAAGCTGCCCGAGAGGAGTGGGGTATCTTCCAGAATATCATCGGCGAAAAAGAATAGACTATCTCCGAGCACTGAGTTCGAAGACAGTGAAATAAGTCCCGACATGCCGTCAACTAGTGGCGTCATTTTGCTTCAAGACACAGAAAACGTTTGTTTGCCTGCTGCATGCTGGTGGAAAGTTGTTGAGAATGACGAGACAAGCCGTCTTGTATAAGCGCCATTTGTGGAGAAATGTGTCGTCGTCGCAGAAGACATGACAGTCACCATTAGCAGCCGTCACCATCGCTTGGCCAAGTCGCCGGGCCACGCAGATACCATCACCCAATTGGCAGAACTTCCGGGGGACATAGAAAAGCTGAAAGTGTGTTCATGTTGTCCCAGTGCGTCAGCAGGCAGACTCGTGAGTAATGACTACGAAGGCCTCACCGATATCCCAAAGTGCGGTCTCTGCTCGAAGCTTTGGCTGAAGCTGTGTTAACAGGTTTCATTAGAGGAACTCAAGAAGAAGCAGAGAGAAGACATGCTCAGGATAATGGCCACACGCGTAGCTTTTCGACTGTCTAAGTTGCTAAAGGATGTGACTGACATGAGAAAAAAGAGCTGTTTACATAACCAGACAAAAGCCACGGGATTGTGCCATATAGTTGTAGTTTATTTTCAAGCACGAAAAACACAGCCACAAGAGACGATGCAAGACATTGTAATTGGGTTGTTCGCGTGTAAAAATCTATTGCGAACGTACACCAACTAGCAACTAACCGAAAGACTCGTGTATGTTATGCTATATATACCAAGCATTGTTTATTGTGGGCTGAAGTTCAGAAAGCCATAATTATACTCTTTTTGCCTTACACTGCTAAATATTACGCAGTATTAAGTTTCTGCGGCAGCACAACAAATATCGATAATATACTGTTGGCAAAGCTCTTTCAGAACGGCCGCCATGGCGTCTTGCCACGACGACTACGCGTTTTCGTCTGCTAGTGGAAGCTTGTTGCGCCGCCAGCGCCACCAAACCGGAAGCTGTCCCGGTGCCGTGTGCCGAGTAGTCTGACGCGGGGAGTTTTGCAACTTACCTAGTCTAGAAACGTTGCTTTACACTGTATCCGTGATGGGCCAACCAATCACAGATGCAGTGCAAAACAAAGTGAGTGCAGTGCAAAACAATGAACAATGTACATATAATACCATTGTATATCAACCATGTTTATTTTAGTGCTTTTTTTAGTGTTATCACTACCACTGTTTCTGATGCGCAAATGCATTTGATCAATATTTTGTTCAAGATACTGTGTTTGTGTGTGTTATTACGGATGTTCTATTTTCTCAGTTGCGCTGAAATAGTGTATTTAGGTATATAGTGAACATATGTATGTATGCTGGTTTTAGTGGTACTGCCACCACGTGAGTGCCTTCAAGCAAATTCAAGCTGTATAGTGCAGCTTTCGCCTGTAGGACCCTCAACATTTTTTTAGAAAATAATACCGTTTTGGATGTATTGTTATTGCATAAATCACATGTGTGATTGCAATAAAACCACTAATTGCAAGTTAGAGTCATGTGTGTGTCTCCCTCTTATTTATCCCTGTCGCGGTGGATACATGATACGAATTATGAATCTAAACCAAGTTGTCCGGCAACGTGACTTGGCGATTCTTTGAATGTTGTTGTCGTAAGCCTGTCTTTTAGAGGCCAACATATTCTCATGATCATCTCAATAGAACAGCACTTCTAGCTTCCCCTGTGCTAAGCATTCAGCACATCTATTTACTATAGTTTGATAAGAAAAATAAGCTGCTTCTAAAATTTCAAAGCTTATTCTATGAGGTGCTATCCCAGAGCGATACGAGTGTATCTATGCTCTAAATTTGCTTTCTAACTCACTCTATAACCTACTTTTTTTTTCTGCCGACATATTGCTTCACATGCAGCCCCGATTACACGTTACACACTCAAAATGATGCATTTAAGAGGAAAAGTGGTTATCATACAAATGATGGGTGGCTGCAATGAGATCAGGAAGTAGGCGTCTTTATGGAAACGAGTTATAGATTACGTTGTAGGCATAATAACAAATTATGCCTACAACATTTATAAATTATCACCTAATGCGGGTTCAAAACAGATATTTGGCAAAGAACACAATGAGTGTTAGGATGGTGATTATTATGGACATGAAAAGTATGTTCCTTTACTGTATTCAGCTTTATGTAAAGCCTCCTGTGAAATAAGACAGCGTGTGCCCATTATTTTGACATTTACTGTTGCATCATCTTCCCAAGTGCTGCTCCATTGGCGGTGGACGAACAATAAATCAAGGTAATGTGTCCGGACTGCGGCCTAATTATTTTCATTATTATCAGGCCGTTGAGATATCTCAAGCGAATGAGTGCCCTTCCGTACCGCGATCGGAAATTCACACATGCCACGAGACACATTTCCTTTTGGCGTTTAGTCGGGAGTTAGACCGAGCAGTAAACTTGGGTGGTCAAACGAACTGCTCGGCCGCGTCTTATGACATAAAAAATAAAGTCTCAGTGTGGGGTTGGGAGGCGTAACGATCGAGACTTATTATCTTGCTCGCACTGACGTGTTTCGCAGTAGGCACTTCGTGAGGCATGACGCTAACTCATCGACTCATTTCCCTAAGCCCCGATGTGTGCAATCACAAAGAAGATAAAAACTTTGACGTACACACTCTCGCACAGCATCATTTGAAAAAGAGCGATATCAGGCGGTCATTTCTTCATGCTGTGCTGCCTTTGTGCAAGCTGCTTACCCTGTTTCCTTGACTAGCAGCCCATGGTCTTCATACATTTGAAGGACTACGCCGAGCACTACCTCGTCAAGGCACAACGTGTGAAAATGCGGGTTCTCTGTAATGCACCCAGACGGCTGCCTTCGAATCGCTGCCTGGATTTCGCGGCAGCAGATGCTCTCAAGAGTGGTGGGCATCGGCACGCACTGTCCGCAGGTACACCTATTAGAACAGTTAGATTAGCGATTGCACACACTGGCCTGCTGCTCAACGTAGACTTCAAGACTTGAACGTACCGGCGCGTATTTCCGAGCCGATCGGGTTCAGGAGGGTCGTGGTCGGGGCTTCTGCTAGCGGAGGTCTTTCCACGTGGTCTCGATACGGGTGCCTCCACGGCGCAGGCGTCTTCTCCATCGTCGCCACTGCCGCTGTCTTGCGCTGACGATGGCCGGTCTCGCACCCACATGGGTGCGTCGGCGTACGGCTCAAAGCGCAAGAGCCGACTCCACTCGAGCAGACGACGCTGTAGCCCCGCTGCGGTGGTCTAGTGGCTAAGGTACTCGGCTGCTGACCCGCAGGTCGCGAGTTCAAATCCCGGCTGCGGCGGCTGCATTTCCGATGGGGGCGGAAATGTCGTAGGCCCGTGTGCTCATATTTGGGTGCACGTTAAAGAACCCCAGGGGGTCATAATTACCGGAGCCCTCCACTACGGCGTCTCTCATAATCATATGGTGGTTTTGGAACATTAAACACCATATATATATATATATATATATATATATATATATATATATATATATATATATATATATATATATATATATATATGGTGTTTAAAGCGGTGAAAGCGGAAGAAAGACTAGGCGGCAAGGGCGATCGCTTTGCCGAGGTACGGTCTAGCCACCCTATAGCGGAGGCTCACCACAGCTAATCAGAACGCCATGCAGCGGAGGCGTAGTGGGGGCGCGGGTGTACGTTTTGGAGAAGCACGGACACGTCATAGCGACACGTGCGCAAAAGCGCGAGATGTCCGCCTATTCTGCCGCGCGGCGATCCATAGGACGCGGATAGTCTGAGCAGGTGCACGCCCTGGCAGCCTTGCGCTTCGAAAAGCTCGCTTTCCCGCCTTGCCGCACCGCCTTCGGTGTGAATGAGCCGTTACCACTTGGCCTCGAAGAGGACAAAAGCAGCGAAACTCCGGAAACTGGCTTGTTTCGCTGCCCAAGCGGCCGGTAAACCACGCCGCGCGGCTTGTGCGCAAAAATCGGGTAGAGGCCGATTTTCCCGCCACGTTAAACCAGATTCGGTTTCCGTTTTACGGTGGCTGCGCTAGATCAAACCACGTGATCTAACCAGCCGGCCGCAGAATAAACATGGCGGCAAAGGCGGCGGTAATGGCTCGTATCGGCTCATATCGCAATCTACCAGTGCTGCACGACGAAGCTTGACGGCCTCAACGAGCACGCGTTCATCGAGAGCATGGTTCGGATCACGATCGCCGAGAACTGTGGAATTAGACAGTGCAGCAGCAGCGAGTCGGCATGTCTTAACGTGCCTCGCTTTTGTGTACAGCCGGTTGAATCCGCCGCCGCCACTGCCGCTGCGTTCGCTCGTGTCGTTTCTGATGGTATATCTCCCAAAACAACGTTTGAAAAGGTGCGAGCTATTTCATTTCAGTACTTTGCGTTAATGTCTAAAATTCCATACGAACTTTAGTTCTCAGAAAGCAGACAAAATATAATTAATTGCCAAGGTAGCGGTGGGATGGGGTAAAATGAATGAACATCTTCGGCGTGCGCTATCATGGTTTTCCGGCCGCTCTGGCGTTTTCGTTTTCACTTCATTTCTGTAGTGTGAATGCGCCTTTAGCAAACGTTGTTGCGGGACATACGCCAGCAAAAGTGGCACGGGCGAACGCAGTGGTAGTGGCGGATCCAATCAGCTGTACACAAAAGCGAGACACGTTTGGGCATGCTGACTCGCTGTTGCTGCACCGTCCAATTCCAGTGTTCTCAGTGATCGTAATCCAAACCAGGCTCTCAATGAATGCGTTCTCGTAGAAGTCGTCAAGCATCGTCGTGCAGCCCTGGTAGATTGCGATATGAGCCGATGCGAGCCACCACCGATGCCTTTGCCGCCATGTTGAATCTGCGGCCGGGCCGTTTCGCAAGCTTCGCATGTACTAAATTTGGTATTACGTGACGTGAATGGACGGCGAAGGTAAATGACACGTCCAAACATGAGAATCATGACATGCGTGTCGTGTAAAACATGACTACATATGCTACGCTCATAGCGCGCTCGCGGCCGTTTAGCTAGCTCTGTACAAACACCAAATTTGGTATTACGTGACGTGAATAGACGACAAGTGTAAATGACAAGTCCAAACATGATAATCATGACACGGAAGTCATGTATGGCATAATTTACATCTGCCTCGTAACGTTACTAATTTTAAATTGACATATTAACATTCCTCATTCGTGCTTCGCATATCATCGATTCCCACTGTACGTGGGATCTGCCAATTTTTATTATTTATTCTATTCAAACCTTTCTTGATTTTTCGGTGACACACAAGATGATGATTTTTCGCTCACAAAAATAACCAACCATGCCGACGCCAGAATTTTTTTGCGAAACGAGCACTTTAACGCTATCACGTTAAAACGAATCATCGTTTATAGAATGAAATATTTCGTTGATCGAGTACAAGGGTACACGCGGGCGGCATGCGGCTTACGCGCTTGTCTTCTACTTACATTTTTAAAATGTTATTAATATGTATGTTTGTGAGATATGCAGGCATTATTGGTCTAAAACATTGTTTTTATAAAGTCTCTGTATGATCACTGTATAGTGAAACAGAACCGTTGGACAAAACTTATATGCGGAATCAGCATCCAGAAATACAGCCGTTTTGGAAGCCTGTATCGACATGGGGTTGGAATTCTGGCACCGATTTTCCTTCGTAAATGATTCGTATATGAGTTATGGGAAAGTTTTATTTCAAATAGCAATCGATGTTTGCCAACAGCCCTCCCCCCTGCCTCCGTATTTACATTCGGCACTAAAACGGCCTGCGTGGGACCAAACTGAATGACTGTGGCCCGCTGGCTGAAGTGAGTTTGAGACCGCTGATCTAGTATATGAATGACCCACTCGTCAGCAATGCAGGAACTGAGATTTGTTGATACTTATTGGAACTGGGATCGGTGCGCCCCTTATGAATTCGACATACCCCAGCTATTCGTACACCAGGATATGCATCATATTTAAGAGTAAAGTGGGCTACGCAAATAAAACTTGCCACATGGACCTATGCGCCAGTATCAAGAACGCCGGCAATGGTGCCCCGGTGTTTACACCTTCGGCGAGGAAGAGGGAGTGTGTGTCGAACGTGGTGGGATTCGGACTCGCATCCGACAGTCATATAACGGTGCACTCCGACGTGCGGCTTTCCGAACGAAACGGGTGCACCACCACCTCCCAAATCGAAGCGAGTGCGAGCGGAAGCGTTCTTCCGTGCTTGTATACTGAGTCTGCCAAGTGGAATCCTTTCATGTGGACATCAGGTAGACGGGGTGCTTCGGAACGATATGTTACGAGAGCACTGCCATCTTGTAAACAAATGCAATGATGGGTGGTTTCGCAATTCATTGTATACCCTGTGTTTTTTGTTGTTGTTTAGAACACCGAGTTGTTGATTGATATGCGGGGTTTAACGTCCCAAAACCACCATGTGATTATGAGAGACGTCGTAGTGGAGGGCTCCATAAATTTCAATCCCTTGGGGTTCTTTAACGTGTACCCATATCTGAGCACATGGGCCTACAGCATTTTCTCCTCCATCGAAAATGCAGCCGCCGCAGCCGGGATTCGATCCCGCGACCCGCGAGTCAGCATCCGAGTACCTTAGCCACTAGACCACCGCGGCGGGGCCACCGAGTTGTTATCGACCAACTGTGATGAATTAACCAGATTAATAGTAAAAGCCACCAAAATAGCAAACTTCGGTACAGCGACTGTCAAAGCACGCCGTCCTCACCTGATAACATATTTTTTAACATTCATAAGTATGTTTAGTATGTGCTTTGTTTAAAATATCTTTAAAAATATCATAATAAAAATGTACCACTCCGCGCGTGAAATCTATGCGTCCATGTGAGCAGTATATTCGTGCTTTGGTTGCAATAAATCATTTTGTCAAAAGTTATCGCACGTGTTCTGTCCTCTCTTCTCGTCCCTGCGCTTCTTTGCGCTAAATGCCGTTTCTTGAGTCGAACTTCTCCCTTTGTGCAATTGTTCTTTGCGAAGGAGTTTTAAGCGCTGGCGTACATGCTTGCCACGCAGAATGCTTCGGTTCCATATTCTCACCCGGATGAAACCTTGCTGTTTACTTATTTGCGTTGATTTCGAATTCATTTTTGCTCACGCATAAGGCAAAATTTTCGCTCACGACCAGCGACGTCGGCACCAGAGTTTCTGCAGCTCTTTACCGCTATTGCGTTAATACTCTAATTGTGCAACCTGAGGTAAACTCACATAGAGCCGCGAGCCTTTGAAGTATTTTTACTTATGTGAGTTACTTCAGTGTTCATGGTGGTACTTTGTCACCAGCTTTTAAATATAACATCTAATTGGACAAAAATAACGTTTCAGAAATGAACATCACCACGAATCTCATGATAGTGGGTCGTGTACACATTCACTTCGGTGACACTGAAGCAAAGATTCACTGTCAGCAGTTGCCCATGGATTACTATGACGTCATAAACGCGAAGGTCACGGGATCGAATCCCAAGTGCGGCGGCTGCATTTTCGATGGAGGCGAACATGTTCGAGGCCCGTGTGCTTATAGATTATAGGTGCATACACCTTAAAGAACCCCAGGTAGTGGAAAGTTTCCCACGTGGTGGCAATATCGTTAGTTTGGGACGTTTCACTCCAGATACATTACCAGACGCCATAGTCGGTGACAATGTACACACGTACCTTAATTGACGAGAGCAACCGCTTATTTTAAGACGCAAGCCTTACATGCCTCATCAAACGGTAAGCTTCATCGTCGGCGGCGACGATCCCGAGGTGTCGGGGAAAAGTGATCCAACGGTCTATCACTTGATGACGTCACAAACTTCGGTGTGACGTCATGTGACCTAATGCCACATTATGCCGTTGTAGCGACCTCATTTGGGCTCTCCATGCGACCTCAAGAGAAAAAAATGAAGGCACTTGGCAATGGCACTTGAAGCCATGGTTCGTGTCGAAAAAAATAATATTGCTACCTTTGATTCGTCTGAGGTGAATGAACAACGGCCCCTGTGAGTTTTTCTTGGCTCGTAATAGGGTGCTTCCAATATTGATCGCAACCCGGCATCTCGAATTCATTGGAGCTGCTCAGGAGATCGCACAAAAAGCGAAAGACGAGCTCAAAAAGAAGTTGCCAGGAAATGCTGAGTGTCGAGTTTCTAGGGCCTTGTTAACATGTGATAACATACTTTATGCGCTCACTTGTCTTTTTCCTGCTGAATAGACCTGAACATAGCGTTCAGCTTGCTGAAGCCAGACTTGCGCAACAAGTGCAATTTCCACAAAAGGCGTGCAGCTATTCATGCAGCCTTAAGAGAAGTTCCATCCAGTCAGTGTCGCCAGCCTGAGTTCACCAGGCAGGTGACACTGCCTGTGCAAGGAACTACAGGTCACGACGGAGATAGGTGCCTACGGTCATCGGAGCAGCCACCAGTTTATCGAATGAAGTGCAGCCGGCACACCGCACAGAGCAGAACCAACATGCGTACCATATACGGTGTCAACTGGGAGGCTCGGAAGAGTGGGCCAAATCAGGAATGGATAAATGGGACCATAGGCGTGATTAGTTAGGAGGGGGGTGACGGTTTTTCGCAGCGCACCCCCTCCCTATTAAGCCAATGTATGGGGCAGACTTCACGCCCCCTCCCCCTCGTAGGATTGGTACCTGTCCGGTTTATATCGAACCGGTTCGCGGAAGCACCAACGTTTTTGACCGCACCGGCCCCCATAGGCCACTTTTTCATGCACTAGAATAAGCAATTGAGCCATCCGCATCCGACTTTTCTAAAATCATTATACAAATAGCAGGCTACCAAAGTCAAACATTGATTAATTTTAGAGGATCATTATTTCGCAATGACAGTGTAAATAATTTCGCTATTATAAGGTAATTACTACAACAGAAAATGGTCAAAATTTCATTTTATAAATTTCGTGCCTAAACTTCGGCACATGAACGCCAGAGTGACGTTCGCGCAGATCCCATTGAGTGTGGAGAGCCAACCACAGGAAAACACTAATTACGGCAGAACGAGTTGAGCGTCATTAATCTCAATTAAGTCTCGTTAGTTTAGTTGATGTAAGGTTAAGCATATATCGGACTAATTCAGATGTGTGAGATCGAACCGATTTCTCACTCGAGATAATTGTGGCCTAAGGGCTATGAAGCCTAGTTCAATCAATTAATCAACTTTATTTGTGTCCATTTTACAAACAGACAGAGGAGCGGCGAATAAAAGCTAGCTTGACGAGCCCGCCGCCCTCATTTACAAGGGCTCAAGGCAGCACAGCGACAGTTTCATTTACATGTAATTAAAAAAAACAGAAAGGAAAGTTACATCATATTGAAAACGGTATATAATTTCTAAACAAAGGCTTAGAACAAGAGAAAAGCAACAAGCGCAAAAAATAATAATAAAAATAGAATCAAAATAGAAAAAACAAATACATACATATTAGTAACTAATAGCTTTTACAAATTTCAAGCGTAACTTGTCTGATGGGCAACAAAATAGATCAAAATTAGTTAATGTGTAATGATTGAGAAGGGAAAGCAAGGTATGGCACAAGCGTTGTTTTCAAGAGTTCAAATGCGTGGCCGGTGCCATCCATACCTCACCTTTTCGTGTTGCATAATTCTGTTTTTTTTTTTCCTGGCAAGCAATCTCTCTTAAGCACTCTAAGTTTTCTTTCATTTCAAATTTAGAACGAGCACTTGGTCTATAACAATATAGCTCATGAATGATGATAATGTGAGCGTAAAGAAACCAGTCAGAAGTTGGTGTCACAAAGGGCACTTTATAAGTAAACCGAATTATCTTTTTTTCGCATTTTATGTATTTTTGCAGATTAGAAAATGTCATTGTGCCCTAGTATATAGTAGTTAAAATAAGAGCAAAACAGTGAATTGCAAATAATTAATTTCACCTGCGTGGAAAGAAGGTGTTTGTGGTGACCAACTATTCTCGTTATGCCAGCACACTTTTCGATTACTGTATTGACATGGCTATCTAGGACATACTTGCAGTAACTACTCCTAAACTCTTATTATCAATGATTTAAATGCTGCGGCCAGTTGAAACTATATCTGCATGGGGGAGGGGGTAGTTCTTTATTCTTTGCTCTGAAATTATTTAAAACATTATGATTCGATGAGCTAATTATCCAAATCAAGTCCAGCTGACCTAAGCCGGGACTAGCTATAGGAGACAACCAGCTCCGCTTTGACTCAGTCTTGCGCCTTATAGTGCAAGTTGTCCTCTTTTTTTTTCTTTTTAATACGCAGCGAAGGGTGGTATCGCAAACTTCAAAGCATGACATTCAGTGTCGCTCGTGCAGGCAGCATCGGCTTCGCACACAAGCCCTGCATGGAACGATGGGTCTCGGAACGTAGGGAAGAAGAGTGCAACATCTGCCACTATAGCTACCCCATCCAACGGAAAACGAGGACCTTCCGCGACCTACTGCGGCACCCGGAGGGTCGCAAGGAACCTCTTGTGTACGCGATGCTGGGAGTCCTCTTCAGCCTGAGCCTGCTACACGTGTTCGCGTTCGCCTGGATACTGAGCGTGCGCATGTGGGGCCGTCTGTCCTGGACATACCAGGTGCTGAACGCCGCTGCTCTTCTGGGCCAGTCCCTGCTCTGGTCCGTGTTTCCCATCGTAGCCTTCAGGTGCGAGGACGTCCCGAGTGGGCGCGTTCTAACATTGTTCTTCACTACTGAATTAAGCATCCATGTTTCTACTCTGAATCAATGTGTAACGCGCCACTTGCACGGCGCACATGTAATGCGGTCGTCCGTGTTTCGTTGCATATTTTGTTCATGAAAGCATTGCTTTCCGGGATGTGCCCAGTTTTATTCATCACTCCACTTTGGGTAATAGCGCTAGCGACGCGAACAATAATGGAAGTGCCAGTCACTTCATGCGATAAATGCTTGGGGATAAGGGCACTCGTGCGAACGAAAGTATACCATCAGCCGGTGAACTTAGTGGAGAAGAGCGGAGTGGTGTCTGACATTATGAGTGCAGACACTAACTTAAGAGGCGAGCTAACCCCGGGACTCCCTTGTGAGGCTTTCGCACGAGCGTTTTCTCTCCTTGAGCCGGAATCGCCGGCTGCCACTCGCAAATAGAACGTATAAATCTGGTGTGATGTTATCGCCCTTGGACTTTTTACTAAAACCTCGATCACGGCGACGCCCAAAGTGCGCTTGCAGTGTCCATATAATAACTATACATTGCCGTAAAATATTAATTTAGAAGACGAGAGTTCAGTTTCTGAGACGAGTCCGAGCAATGACACGCGACCGTGATCAGTGCATAAACTCTCCTCGGCACCACAACAGTGGTGAAGGTGCGCGGCTAAGAAAGCAACATACGGAAGATCCGATAGCACTCTTCTATATAACATGCCGTTGATGATTATTGATATGTGGGGTTTAACATCCCAAAACCACCACGTGATTATGAGAGACGCCGTAGTGGAGGGTTCCAGAAACTTCGACCACCTGGGGTTCTTAACGTGCACCCAAATCTCAGCACACGGGCCTACAGCATTTTCGCATCCATCGAAAATGAAGCCGCTGCAGCTGGGATTCGATCCCGCGACCTGCGGGTCAGCAGCTGAGTACCTTAACCTCTAGACAACCGCGGCGGGGCATAGCGTCGGCACATCGTTATCCACGTAACCCCGTATATATCATATGCTCATTGGGGCAAAAAACAAGTGGTTTTGCATTTTCATACGTAAAAAGTTGCGCTTTAAATAGCTTAACACGAATAGCAGAAGCAGTGGGCTAGGGTAGCAGCCTGAAAAAAAAAAATCCTTATTACGAAAGACACACCTCACCAAACAACCAGGACACAGAAATGGTATACATGCACCACAGCGCTTACTGTAAGCGCTGTCACAGTATTCACAGGAGAGACCAGCCCGCCTGCGTCGTTGGCGCAGGCGGGCTGGTCTCTTCTGAGGATTTATATTCTCATGATAAAAGACATGATTGATACTTGGGGTTTCACGTCCCAAAACCACATGGTTAAATACATATATGTCAGTCTATAAAGACTAAATACTCTGCTGAACGTTTCCAGCGTTGCCTTGCAAGTGTTTTGCCTATAGACCTCGGTGAACACTATATGGTATATAGAAGTGTTTTCAGGGAACACAGGTGTTCAGTTACCACTGCGCCCAACTTTGTCGTTGTAGAAACTGGTTCGATTTCTCCAAGCTGTTTGTACTTAGGAATCCCGGTTGCGGTGGCTGCATTTTTGATGGAGGCGTAAATGATTTAAGCCCGTGTGCTCAAATTTGGGTGCACGTTAAAAAACCCCAGGTGGTCGAAATTTCCGGAGCCCTACAATACGGCGTCTCTCATAACCATGTGGTGGTTTGGAACGTTAAACCCCGCATATCAATCAATCAATCATGTTTGTATTTGGCACTAAGAATATGTTAAATTTAGTACAAATATGCTGAATCATTTTGAAAATACCAAAATGAAATCGGTTCGACGGGAACCCATGTGGTCGGTAAAATTCGTGGCGCGAAAGAACAAGCTCCGACCAGTATTAAATATAAAACAAACAAAATTGACGTTCTGACCGCACTATGGCATCGTCGAAGAATTATTCGCCGATGTTCTCTATATATACCCACACACACACACACACACACACACACACACACATATATATATATATATATATATATATATATATATATATATATATATATATATATATATATATATATATATATATATATATATATATATATATATATATATATATATATATATATATATTGACGCGTGTGTGCTGGTGGACCAAAACGACGATAAGGGTATTTGGCATACAACAGGTAGTGGAGCTCTAGCTGAAAAAAAGACAAAGAAGGTGATCTTGCTGTTCGGCTGCTGAGAGTCGCTGTGTCAACGTTTATCTGCCTTTGGTTCCCGCTGAACCGCGACACTGGTGGAGGTACTGGGCCGCAACTCTACCTAATGCTCCATACTCCTACTGGGAGCCCTTCATCTCGCTCGGACGCATTGTCACCCATTGCAACTCCCGTGCACCGGTTTAGTCGGCGGCTGATGGGCCTCGCGCCGGAGTTCACTTCTTCCACGGAACCTCGCAGGTGCCGATTACCTCTCCAAATGGTCAACGACAGTACGCAACCGGCGCCCCAAGGCCCCCGCCGACACAGCCTTCACAGGTAACCATCTTTCAACCGCTGGTTCCCGATCACTTTAGTGGCGGCGCCCATGAAGATGTTGACGACTGGCTTGAGCACTAGGAGCGTGTTGCCAAGATTAATCTGTGGCCTGAACAAGAAAAGCACTTACGCGCCTATTTCTACCTTGACGGCGGTGCGAAAATTTGGTATGAGAACAGAGAAGCCAGTCTGTTAACTTAAGGTGACTTCCGACAATAGCTTGTTGATAGGTTCGCCAATGTCGATCGACGCAACCGTGCGCAGCAGCTGTTGGAACTACGGGTTCAAAAACCCAATGAAAGCGTTGCTATGTTCGCTGAAGATATGACTCGTCTTTTTCGTCAAGCTGACCCGAACATGAGTGAAGATAGGAAGTTGAGCTACCTCATGCGCAGCGTTAAGGAGCAACTTTTCGCCGGGCTACAGCGCCACCATCCAAGTACCGTAGTTGATTTTATCAAGAAGGCTACGGCTATTGAGCGGGCCCTCCATCAACAATGCAGGCAGTATCATCGAATGTCTAGCAGTGCCCCAATCAATGCTGCCGCCATACCTGAGAATCAAAGCTCCCTGCGAGACCTCATTAGGGAGATAGTTCGCGAAGAACTACAAAAGTACCGGACTCCGGTTGCTCAAACCCCCGTTGCGTCTATCGCTAAACTGGTGCGCGACGAAATCCGCCACGCATTTTCTACCGCTGGTCCTGATGACGAGCACCGTCCCAAGAGCTACGCCGACGCTCTCCGACGTTCACCATCTGGTATATCGCCACCATACCACCCAGTGCCGACGGTCCCTTGGTCACCGCCGCAAGATCAGACCCTGAGCCGACCGCCAAGCCAACCAACGTACCACCAGCCGTCCACAGCAGCACCATGGACATCGTCGCAAGAAGGGAGGCTCGGACGTCCATCGCTCCGAGGAACAGACGCATGGCGCACAATCGATCGACGTCCACTATGCTTTAACTGCGGAGTTGCAGGCCATATTGTCCGTCATTGCTGGCACCGCAGTGATTCATTCCGCCCTTTTCGAACATGGTCTGACGATCGACGTGCGAACGAAGAATACATACCACGCCGGGAGGACACCTCTTTCCAAGGAGCCCGTTCTCGCTTTTACGACTACCGTATACTTCTGACGAGGAGGCAATACCTACCCGCCAGCTAAGTTTGGGACGTCAATACCGCTCTCCGTCTCCCGCTCATTCACCTTTGTCACACCGACGTATCTCCGCGTACCTTTACGCAAGAAGGTCACCCAGCCCAGCCCGCTCCGGGAAAACTGAGGGCGGCTGTATATATATATATATATATATATATATATATATATATATATATATATATATATATATATACACGCTCTGAAAAACAGAGGAAGCGTCAAAGCAGTGAAGAAGAAACTTGGGATAGGCTAAAATCGGATGTATGCACTAAGGGACAAAGAAGGCAAAATAACTACCAATATGGATAGGATAGTTAAAATAGCGGAGGAGTTTTACAGATTTCTGTACAGTAGCCGGGACAAGCACGACCTTAATACTACATGAACTATGTGGGAATTGAGGCTAGCCCGCTGCCTTTGCGCGGGCTTTCCCGCCTTTTCTGCCATTCTCATGTCCCGACATGTCTGCCCTCCTTTGCCGTCAGCCGCGCTGGGAAGGGCGGAGTGACGTTTAACTCCCTCACCCGGTAGCGGATGTTGATGGTGGCGCCGCGCACGGGGACTCCCAAGAGAGGTTTTCGCGCGCTGCGTCGGGAGCGGTCAGTACAGTCCGGGACTTCAAACGGTGAGCCACGCATTCTTTTCCGTCCGTCGAGTCCCGTCGCTCGGGGCTCGTCGGACTTCGCTGACGGCGCCTCGCGCCCGATGCGAATGCTCACCTTTTGTTGCCCCGCTGCGTACTCACGGCCGAAGGGCAGTACGGTGTCCTAGTGCGTGGCCTAGCTACGCCGACCCGTCTCCCTTCGAAGCCAACGCGAGCGCCTTTGCCCTCGCTCGAGCAACCGGGCCCCTTTGTCCCGGTGTCTCCGTGGATCACCTTTACCGCGGAGACGTGCTCGTGGCACCCTGTGTAGTACTTTGTGCCCGTGGCGTGGATAAGCCTACTTGCTTTCCCGCCGCGCCTTTTTTGCAACGGGCTGTACTGCGTTTGGTGTTGCCACAATAAAGTGTTGCGACTTGAGCAGTATCGTGTTTCCCGCCACGGCGACGGTTAACGCGTGCCCTGCGGCTCGCTAAGACCGGACCCACGCTGGTGGCCGTACTCCTTCGGGATACGTGTACACCACACTGGCGCCCAACGCGGTATCAAAAGCTCTAGCTTTTGTCTGCTCTTAGCGAGTCAGTTCGCCTGCGCGATTCGGGCTCGTCGCAACATGGCTGCTTCGCGGGACTTTTGTCCGCTGTCCCTTTTAGCGGATGCCGCGTTGCACACGGAGGCCATTGCCTCTA